CATTGGTTTCCTATCATTTCACAGTGTCTATCATACCTCCGAGTTTAAATTAACTCTTTCAAGTTTTACACTAGTGACACAATGCGGTGCTTGCACATGTTACATTATATAGTTGAGACTATGGGCACAAAGATCCAGCTATTTTCCCAACCCCATGAGCAACTGTGATTACATCCAAATGTGTTATTTCATTTAAATTCAAGGAGCCAAGCTGTGATTTGAATCCACAGCTATTTACTATGTGTTAGACTCTGTTGCCCCTCAATTTTAGTCTCTAGAGTGCAAATTTCCCATGCCATACCCTACCACATCTTTGACTTTATACTTTCTTCTCATTGTTTTCACAGCCATTTGGAAGATTTCAGAGGAACGTGAATATTTCTCTCATGGTCATCTTTTCATCTTAAGAGCTTAGGTGGCTAGAAGCCCTTTACCTTGGATTGATAAGAATGGGAACACTTCTCAATATGGTTCACATAACATGTTTGTTGTCTCCTTTACACCATGCATTATCTAGATTTGGGGGATAAAATGAGATTGCTGCTGCGCTTGAGAATTTCAGAGTCTAACGGGAAAGAAGTATATGTGAATATACATAAGTAGATGAGAAAACCCTGTGGTAGATAGCTCTTTAGCTGTGAGGCCACAGAGGAGAGAACAACTAACTCTGCAATTAACCCTCCTCGGGGAGTTTGGGGGTGGTGCCATGACAAGTGTTTGCTGAACAGGTCTTGAGCTATGCATAGTGATAGGCTGGGAAGAGCATTTCATACAGAGGGAACAGCCTGTTTGCTTGAAGGTATTAAGCAGGAAAAACAAGGCTTGCTAGGAGGTTAGTGAGACAGTCAATATAAATGTATAGAGCTGGAAATAGAGGACGAGGCTAGATAAACAAGCAGGAGTCAAATGTGAAGGAGTTGGAGTTTACGTAGGATTATCATGATAATCCATCATCTATAGCCGGATTTTATTCTAACCCCTTCAGCAAACCCCACCTGCTCATCTCATCCCAATGTGCGTGCCCCTCCACACACACACGTAGAGTTCTCTTGGGCCTCTTCTGTTCAAGATGAATGTATGCATCGATGAGAGTATGATTGCTTTAGCTCTGGTGGATTGAAGAGCCAGGGTTACTTCAAAAAGGCTTCATGATTTTGCCATTGGCCATCTAAAAGGGATTTACCAAAGATCTTAGGGAAAGATAAAAATGGACAAAGATCTAAAAGCCTCAAAGATATATAGTGAATTATTTTCCTTTCTTCTTCTCTTTTACCTCTCTGCTCCCATTCTTCAAAGAAGAAAAAAACAAAGAATCATTTTAGAATGAGAAATTCCGTTCATCACCTGTTGCTCATTTTCATTCATTCATTCAGGGCATGATTTATCTCTGTGTTTTACTTAGGTGGTAAGAAATAGGGTTCACCTAGCTATTATCTTTTCTCGGTCCTGCTATATACAAAGAAGCCATCTTCCCTTTGCTACAACTGGAAGGCCGCGTGTGCCTTTTGACTTGCTACCTTACCAGATGTGCAGCTTCAGATTAGACCGAGGTCCAGAGTAAATGTTGTTGTAGGCTCTCTCTTCCAGTCTCATCCTTTTTTTCCAGAAGCTAATAAATTCTGAAAGTGTTGCCATAGCTGCTACTGAAGTCAGCCTCTGAAAAAAGGCCTGGTGTACATGATTTCTTGTTGGACTGCTTCATCCTAGAAGAGAGAAAAAGGAGACCAAAGAGCAATGTGTGACTCATCCCTTCTCTTTTTTTTTCTTTCGGACTCTCTAGTATTTCCTTCCTTCCTTTTTTCTTTTTATTATTTTGCTCGCTTTCTTCCTCCTCCTTTTCTTCTTCTTTTCTCTTTCTCTCTCTTCTTTTACTCTAGCTTTTTCTGTTTAAAACTTTCCTTGTGTATTAAAAGGGCATTTATTTAGGAACAGGCATAGTAGCTTACTATGGTAATTCCAGCGCACAGGAGGCAAGAGGATCAAGAGTTTTGGGTCAACCTGGACAACATAGTGAGACCTTGTCTCAAAAAACCCCCCAAATATAATTCATTTACTTAAAATTAACTTCAGTACTCACAGTGTTCCAGGCTGTATAATTAGCACTATATTTTATACATATGAAATTTTTTATTTTAAAGACAAAACAAAACAATAACAATGAAGACAAAAATCAAAGCAACACAAAAACAACACAATCAATATATGACCTCAAAACAAAATGATAGGAATTAACAATGGTTGCTATATTACATACCGTTATCTTCAATGAAGTTGCTCAGTCCACCAGATGTAAGAATGTAAGATTGATCAAACAGTCAAAGACAGTAACAAGTAATAAAAAAAAACATTGGAAATGATGCAGAGCTTCACTATACAAGATGGTGGGAATTCAACAACGGTTCTTATACTGCATATTGTCTTCAGATCAGTCATTCTGATTACCAGATACAAGTGCTAGCACTATTTTTTTAATGTAATGAAAGGAGCAGGATAAAGTTGCTGCTGGCTTCAGGGAGATTCCAGTGTGGGCCAGCATAATACCAAACCAGTTATTCACTTGAAAGGAGGCTGATTCTCTATACTTCTTTGTGGTAGATTTGACATGATTTTAATTAACTTTATAACATTTCTGCAGTCTTCTAACTGTAAATTCTGAGTCTATCTTAGCTACATTTCAGTGTGAACTTTTTCTAGATAACATCATAACAGAATTGTGATTCAAGGGTTATTTTCAAAATGATAGAAAATCTTCTAAATGTAGCATGTTTTCTAAATTTTATTTTAAAATTCATTTTCTGCATTTTCCAAAATTTATATACAGAACTTCTAGAAATTTTATAATGAAATTCTTGTTCTGATTATAAACCCTATAGTTAATATTTTTATGGAAAATTAAAATTTTCTGTCTTTGAGAGTTTGTATCTTAGACTATTTGAATATGACATATTTAGAATATTTTTACAAAGTAGAAAAAATAAAATACCACTGGCCTAAAGTATTATCATTTCTGTTTCTCTGCATTGTTCCCTAGTACTTATCTGTAAGTATACACATTTTTACATGATCATGTTCAGTTAGGTTTGTGTGTGTGTGTGTGTGTGTGTATGTGTGTTACTAGGGATTGAACCCAAGGCCTTAACACTGAATTACTTCCCTAACTAGCTTTAATTTGTTTGATTGTTTTCTGACAACTAATTCACCAAGTTGCCCAGTCTGGGCTTGTACTTATTATCCTCCTGCCTCAGCCTCCAAGAGTGCTAGAATTATAGGTATGCACCATTACACCTGGTTTCTCCCCTTTCTTGATATAAAAACATCAAACAATAGAAAAATGCAGAAGTGCATGAAAATATACTTTCTTCTCATAGTTCTATTTCTTAAAGTACTATTGCACATTTATTACAACTCACTCTGACTTTTTCATATACACAGACACTTCGTGTTCTGCTCTTTTTTCACACTTCATTCATTTGTTAAGTGTGGTGTGTACAACTTAGCTTCTTATTAGCACCCAGATGCCATCACAACAAATACTCATGCCTTCAAAAATTTTCAGTTGAGATGTACAAATTTAGTTTCCTGCTTAGTCTTTTCTTTGTTTGGTTGACCTTTAAATTTTTTTAATACAATATTTAAATTTTATCATTTAACTTTTAAAAACTTACATGCTGTCCAGACTGTGGAGTGGGCGTTAACTTTCGGAGCTTCAGGTCTCCCTTGAGTGAAAGAGAAGAGTAAGATGAGCACTGTCCCTGCCGCCATGGATAACGCAGAGACATCAACGTGGAGGAAGCTGTGTACAGAGAGGAAAGCAGGATGGCTTTGGAGAAATATAGATCGACTTTAGAGAAGAAATGTTGTTCTCTAGAATACAAAGAAGAGGCCTGGTGCTTACAGCCTGAAGGAGCGGGTGATGCATGGAAAAGCGACCTGTCTAAACACGTGGAGTATTTTTTGCTGTTCTGTGTGACCTTCCCTGACCTTCCCCTCTCCCTCCTTTTATGGCCCCCGAACTCGGTGATTTGACTAAATGTTTCAGTTCTCCCCAAGTTCTGTTGGTGTTATGTAAAGACAGCCTTAATTAAAGTTTGCATGTGGTGAGTGAGAAAGAGAAGGGCATTTAAACTCACTGAGTCAGGCCCTGGGAGGGGGGAAAAAGTCAACAGTGTCAGAGTGACACCAGGAAAAGGAGGAGGTGCAAAAAGCCATTTGGTTTGAGCTCTGTTAATTTAGGCCAGGGAAGAGGTAATGCTGAGGCCCGAGGGGGTGAGTTAAGGACAGGCTTTCTGCCTTAACTCTCAACGTGCTAGGTTTTATTAGTTTAGGCCAGGCAGCTGCTGACATTATTTTAGTATCTATTTTGTGAGTGATTATGTTGTAGGCATGGGCAGGAGGTCAGGCAGGTCAAGCCTTTCTGCTGCAGACCATCTCAGCATGGGCCTTTCGCCTTCAGATCTTGCTGAAACTTGCCACCTGTAAAAGCAGACAACCTAATGGGAAAAAGAGCAGCACTTAAAATGCTGTTTTTTCTCTGCCGCTCTCTAGTGTAAAGAACGCTGTAAAAATATTTCAAACTGGAATTTTTGTTTTGGTTGCATTAACTCTTTGTTTGACCATCGTCACAATTTTCCCACAAAATTGACTTTTGGTAACCAGAGATGTTTTGGAGAAACTGAATATTATGTCTGCAAACAGAGGGAAGCAGTCAGAGAGACCCGAAGGGAGCCTTGCTAATGCTCTGATCACTTAAACTCATCTGTCCTATCACACACTGTGACCGCAGCTTTGGGAAGTTAACCAGTTTATGTTTTAGGGACTCTGTTCATTTGTGTTTGAAAGAAACATCCATGAAACATGGACCAGCTCCAAGAACAATGTTTCTGATAGCCAACACCCAAAAAAGAAGGGATGTGGTCTAGATCTTAATCCTAATTTCTTGCCCAATTGCCTGTGTGACCTTGGGCTAATCATTATGCCTCTATTTAACTTTACTGAGCCTGTTTGGGAGAGGAAACTCTTTCATTCAGGATACCACAGAGGTAGGAATCTCAGGCCCAATATGCAGAGAAAGACCAGTGGTGTATAAAGGGGGGGATTTGAGTTTCTACTCTCTAAACCATATTGTACCTAGCGGGGGCTGAAGCCAGAGGCGAACCAGTAAAATGAGCTGGTAAAAAGAATTGCCAACCTCACTTTTTCTAGGTGAGATCTGGGCCCTGATGCTGGGAAGTAGCTCTCTACTAACCCTCCATCCAATCCCACAAGGAAGCTCTCTGGACATTTATTCCTTTACTTACTCAACAAAGGTTCGTTGAGCACCACTTCTGTGTCTGTCACTGGGTTGTGGTGGCCTAGCACCCAACACCAGTCTCCACTCTAGCAAAGAGATAATGCATGCCAAGCAAATGAAGACATACGTATCCAACACACCAGATGCTGAGTACAGTGAAGGAAACAGTGGGATGAGGGAACATAAAGTCCTCAGGAGGTGATCACAGCAGAGACTTGGAGGAAGTAGAACTGCTCTGGGCCCACATCGGGAAGAGCACTCCTCACAGAGGGAGGAACAAACACCTCTCTAGGGACCTCAGGTGTAAGGTTCTAGAATGTTCCCAGACAGCAAGCAGCCTTTGTGGTGGGGCAGAGTGAATGTGTAGGACAGTGGCAGGGGATAAGGTTAGGGAGGCGTTATGCTTTATATATGGATATTCCCCCAAAGCCTCACGTGGTCTCCCTCCCTCCCTCCCTCCCTCTCTCTCTCTCTCTCTCTCTCTCTCTCTCTCTCTCTGTCCCTCTCTGTCTCTCTCTGCTTTTGCTGTTTTCTGCCACTGTGAACTGTTGCCCCTCTGCCATGTGCCGCTTTGCCTTGGAGCCAGCCAATTATGGACTGAAACCTCCACAAACTGTAAGCTAAATAAACCTTTCCTCCTTTATCTTTGAGTGTTGGGTATTTTGTTGCAGCATGAGAACAGTAACTAAGGAGGTGACCAGGGATGAGCTCATGAGGGATCTATGGGATAAGTTAAGCACTTTGGATTTTGCTCTGAATATCAGAAAAGAAACCACCGTGTTGTTTCGAGCAGAGAAGTGTTATGATCTGACCTTGTGAAAAGAGGTCAGATTTGGAATCTACATAGAGTACAGAGCTAAAAGGATCGATGAGGGATTAGAGATGTGAGATGAAAAGTTAGGAATGTTACTTGAGCAAGTAGGTGCCATTACAGCGAAAGAACACTCTGGAAGAAACACAGGGGCAGGACAGCTAGTTTGAAGGCTCCACTGGCTGATGGTGGAATCAAAACTGTGCTTCAGATATAAATTTTGGGTCTGTGTAGAAAGCAGGATGCCTGGTTTTCAAGGTAAAGGTGATTTGTCAAAGATGAAGATTCACAGGTGGTCTTGAGTGGGCCAGAGAATAGCCAGAGGAAGCCAGATGTGGGCTGTGACTCTTAGCATGATGCCACTATGAGGTAGATAGGTCCCTTTGACCAAGGTAGCCAAGATTGACCACTGGACCCTAGAGATTATTGATTTTAGACAGAGGTAGATCTCTGGTTAGGGTCCTTAGTGTGGAAGTTTCTTGATGCTGTATACTAACATCAAGAGTGTACTAACATTAGGAGTGAGACAGACAACCTGGCAAAGATCAGGGGGGCCAGAACTTCTCTCATTTATCCTACTCAGAAAAGTGACAGTGAATAATAGGAGGTCTTAGCTGAGAACACGACGGAAGGAGAAAATTCCAGTGGAAGAGTCACATGGGAGTTTGGTTGTCCGTGATAGATGGGGATTCAAGCAGGTAGATTTGTAGAAGCAGACAGAAGGAACAACAGACAGTAAGGGCTACTGTGACACAGCACTAGGGTAGGGTGTTAAGGGACATCATATTTCTTCCTCTCTTCCCATTATTTCCTCATCCTTCTTTCTTTTCCTTTCCTGTATCCCTTCCATCCTTTGAATTTAAGCTTTTGTGCCTACAGCAAACATTTATCCAATTCCTGCTGTGTACTAGCCACTGTGCTAGGTCTGGAGGACACCTAGGAAAAACATAGGCAAGACCTTTCTGCAGCTAACAGTTTTATGGGGGTGGGGGAATTCCCCAAATTCCCTCCTGGGGTAGTAGAACAGACAAAAGCCTTGGGGGTAGGGGCCACAGAGGTTACCTGACCACACACACATTTGTAATCTGTTTTCAATGTAAAGTATGAAACCACCCGCTGTAGTCTTTCTTTGTTCTTTTTTATGTTTCTGTTCAGGGCTTCCTTTCCTACAGCGTTGTTTTGTTTTGTTTCTAAAGTATTATCATGTACATTGGTCTGACTGTCCATTTTCACAGCAGAGGTTGACTTGTTATATGGAAGGACATTATTATTGGCTCAATGCCTTACAAAAATCCTCAGTTTGTTTTCACTGAAGAAAGTATTGGTACTGGCATCTCAGGCAACAAAGCACAGTGGTTACGGAGGGGGTGTTCTGAAACCAGGCAGATTTGGGTGAATCCAGGCTGTAGCATCTAATGGCTGTGCAACCTTCAATGATTTACTTAGATTTTTCTGCGCCTCCTTAATCTCACCTATCAAATGGAAATAATAATTAGATCTCCGTTACAGGGGTGTTATAGATGTTAAATAAGATGTTTTAGAAGAAATATTGGTGCATAATTAACATTCAAAGTGACTCTTACAAGTTATCAAATGTATCCACAAATGCAGCGTTTCTTCCAGCATTTATGGCTGTATCTCTTATCTCTCCACATATTTATTTAATATCAAATGCTCAATAAACCCACGATGTGTGTGAAACTGTTTTCTGCATTGCCTCACAGAGCAATTATTCTGGGAAAAAAGACTGAAGACGGAGCTAAAAAACCACTATACGTATAAGGTTAACAGCCAAGGATAAATCAATCTCAATTTCAGGGACATCATCAGAACAGCAATTTTGGAGGTGCTGATCATTGCCCACTCTCTAAAGTGAAACCCAGGAAAACTGCAAAAGGTAAGTTATTTCTGGCAAGCAAAATGGACTGGGTCCTCAAAAATTCCACTGGAAGCTTAAATTAAAAAGTTTTGCATCATATACCAGCATTTTGGTATTGTTGAATTAAAAAAATGCTTTGATAGATTTGCAATGGTAAATACACTACTTGTCATGTACAAATTCCAGCTATCACATGTAGCTACTGAGAGAGCTGTGAAGAAAGTATGTGATGTTTCATACTGGATCCATGATAAAGAATGGTGTGGCCCATGAGCAGGGTCTTGTACTGGAGGCATATCCATAGCTTTCCAAATCTACACTATGCTAACTGGGGGGTGGTTCCACTTCTAGTAGTGCATAAGATAAAAGTATCTACTTATCTTAAACTCTTGTTAAGCTTTATTTATACACTCATTCATTCATTTACGTTGACACGGACCTTTAACACAAGGTACTGTACTCTGAAGTCTGTGTTCTATTGTAGTCTACAATTAAGTCAACTCAGAAAAGCATATAAATTTATTTATAAGTGGATTTGAGACCTTTACCAGTTGGGACAAAACAGGAATAAAAATTGGCAACCCAATGAAGAAAAACCTGAAATTACAAAGGATAAAGACTGACATACTTCCCCAGGCACTATAATCCAAGCTACTCAAGTTTGAAGAGGCTGAGTCAAGAGGGTATCAAGTTTGAGGTAAGCCTGAGTAACTTAGTTTTTTGTCTCACAACAGACAAAACATGGGAGGTTAGAGATGTAGCTCAGTGGTATCATTTTCCTAGTGTGTACATGGGGTCCTGGTTTCAACAATTCCTTCCAAAAAATATGTTGAAAACATTGAAAGAACCTGCTAGGATAGAAAGCAAAGAGTTAAACTCAGATTGACAGGTGCACTTAGAGAAGATACTGGAACAACCAGAGAGAAGTCAGAGTTAAGAAAAAAAAAAAAAAGACAAACAAAACCTTCCAGTGGGAAACATTCTTACACTGAAAGAGAAAGAAAATAGTTTTAATCTTCTGGTCAAAGGATATAACTTTGAAAAAAATAACGAAATTTAGTGTTGGTTACTGCAAAAGCATGACCCTCTATATTTTTAAATGGGTAAGCCAGTTCATTGATAGAAAATATACAATGAAATAAATTAATCAAGTTGGAATTATTAAAACATTTCAGCAAAATGTGAATCACCATAAATACAGGCATACAGAAAGAATTCAAAATAAATGTCAAAAACTAAATAAAATTAATTCAGAAAATTTCATAAACATTTTTCGTTGCCTGTTTTATTTTTTAGTTTTCCTAGAATAACGTAACATAAACTTGATACTCATTTGATTGAGAGTTTGTCAAGCAAACTATTAAAGTGAAAGCCCTTTTATTCCTGAGAATTTAAATGGGTGATACTGGGTTACCAGGTATTGAGTGCTTAATAAACCGACCTCTGTACCCAAAACTCTCCACATTTAGTCCACTTTCCTTTACAGTAAGCCAGGAAAATTAGGGCTATAATGTCCATTTTAAAATAAAGGTATGAAGCTTTAAAAGAGTGCAAGATCAAGGATTTAAGCTTCAGTTTAACTTTGAAACTGTGCAGTTTCAGTACCAATAGCTACCTGGCCACCGGGAGTCACTATAAGAAGCACGACCCCTGGTGGCTTAAACTGTTGGAAGACGAACACCTGGGTGATAACCATGTAGTACCGTAGTCTTTCTTTGCGCTCTCAGGCAAACCAGCAGTTCTGTCAGTCCTGAACAATTACCATGGGCAACTGGACATGCTGGGGACAGGCATATGACACAATGCATAGCTTTCGAGAAAATAAGCATTCTTTATCTGCCACTTTGTTGAAGGTATTTCTATTACCATGCAGCTAGGTCCCTTCATTTTTTCTGACTCTTAGTTCTTCCATTGGGAATATAAGCAACTGTCTTCAAAATGCCCCTGACTACAGAGGTGTCCAGGCCATGGAAAGGTGTTGAAGCCATCCATCCAGCTACTCATGTAGGAATTTATTTCTTGGTATGTCTGACTGTTTTCTGCTGTGGAAGAATTGAATCAACTCTTTGCTTTATTGGTATTTTATCTTCTCAGATTGTGCTGGATCTGCAGATCTTCAAAATTGTACAATATCTCCTTTTCACCCTGCAATTTACACATTTCTATATACTTTTGACACTGCAATTTAAACATTTCTATTAGACATTTCTATATACTATATGTTTTTGACCCTGCAATTTATACAGTACCAGACACGATTGTCATTTAAAATTATTAGAACATGTAGTTCAATGAAATACAACAACTAATATGGAGAACTGTTTTTCTAAACTGTATTGATTGGGGGGAGCAAAAAGGAGAGATAAATATTATATATATCTAATAGCATTCAACTTTCTTTAACCCCTCCCCCATCTTCATTTCACAGTGGCTTTGGAAAGAATTTAAATCTGATACCAAATCACAGTATTAAATTTCCCAAGTCCCCAAATTCACCTTTAAATTCCTTTCATCCTTCTCCGCTGGGTTATGACTTTCATCCAAGAGTTCCCCCACAGCTTTGCGATCCTAGAACCACGAAAGTTCCTCTTTATGTCAGACTGATCTTTCGGCCCATAAAATGAAACGTGCCTGGATATTCTTCTCCAATCATACTGTTATGATTAGTTAGAAATGAACAGGACCACCCTTCATTTGGACTATAAGAGAAACATTCTCTTTATAAAAAAATGAAAACAAACAAAATGTAACGGAATAATGAGGAATCCTGCCCCAGGCCTGTGCCATAGATGCAAATAGTGGAAACTGGGGCTGAGTACTTGTTGAAAAACAAATAGTCCATCAGTTTTGCATAAATATTCCTGAAGAATTGGTAGGAACAATTTTTAAATGCAGTTTTGGCTTCATTTAGGCTCAGTTATGGTGCTAAGATGTTTTATGGGCATATGAAGCATTTGTTTTGAGCCAGATGCGTGCTGTATTAGCAGCGTATACAATTCATTCCTGTGTCAAATATTTTATAAATTCCCAGCATGCATCAGAAAGACATTAGGCTAAGCCTGGGGAACATAGTGATGAAGTCATGCCCCCTGTAGCCTCTGATGGGCACATATATGTTGTTTCTAAGTAAATTTCTGTGTTATATTCAATTTTTAAAGCATAGGTCTTTTTCACAAGTAGCCTTAGTTGTTTAAGAAATAACAATACAGTTTCAAAAATATACCTGATTTATGGCAACAAGATGGCTAGTGCCATGGGGCTAAAATATCAGATTGGTGAACAAAAACCAGATCCCAAGAAATTGCTCATATTTAGCACATTCTTTAACATATGGGCAACTTCCACTGATTTGCACCAAAGGGGGAGAGTTGAGATGTGACTAATAAAGTGGAAAATAACACAAAGTAATGTGTCTTCTTGTTTTGTATTCATATTTATATATGGGTGGTTTTTATTTTGGGGAATGTATTTCAAATGGAACTCTGCAGCCACAGTTGAAGATGTGACTCAGGAGGAAGCTGGCGGTTTTCCAGTTTCCTACTTCTGACCCTACTCAGCAGCATCTTCAACCACATCCACCCTCGGACAAGTCCACCCTCTCTCTGATTAAGAATAGCTGCCCACATATAAATCTTTCCTGGAGTAGGAAGTGGTTTAAATGCCTGGTTTTCAAAAGCCTGCTGTGCAAGCAAAGTAAACAAGGAAGTTTATTGGATTAGTAAATTGAAATTAAGCAAATTAGTTTCCAACTCTTAATGGTACCTACCCAGCAAAGCAAGGATCAGTGCCCTTAAAATTGTAGCAAAGCTAACAGTGCTTACTACAACACAATTAATTTGGTGACAGGGAGAAAATTGCTTGTAAGTTCCTGGATTCTAAAGATCTCTGTGAAAGGCAATGTGCTTTGTTTTGTTTTGATTTGGTTTGGTTTTTTTACTTTTTTCTCCCTGCGCATTCAAGATTAGGAATTGGGAAAAATATTACTCCTATTAAGAATATGATAATAGTGATTTTAATGGTTCTCTGTCAGGCCTGGTGCCCAAATCACCAGTCCCATTTCTTTCCTTCCACCCATATTTTTGCTGTAAGCTAACAGGTACTCCCTGCAAGAAACACTTCTGACTCACAGAGTGTGTAATTCCATCCATAAAGAATCCCAGCTCCCTGCAGAAGCCTGGGGTTTACCGATGGTTGAGATGCACTGATGACGCCTCAGATTGTACCCTCTCTCTTGATTGAAAGCAGAAGGACCCCCCTCCTGATTGGCTTCCTTACTTACGAACAGTGTCGATCCATTTCCTGTTCCCCTCTGTTAATTCATACCAGGACAGACACAGATCAAAATGAGGGACCCTGCATTTCGGCACCTCCTCGGAGCAGTGTTGATGGGAGTAAGTGTTTGCAGACTGTAGGTTCCTGTTCAAGCTACCAGAGGATGACTTTTCATTTCTTAGTTAACCAGTTCCAGCCCAGAAAAACAGCCACTGTATACTAGCACTGTCCAATATTGTTGTTTTTTCCCGCTTTCCCCTTGAAGTATTGACCACCCAACCATGATCATTCCCAATTTAAAATGATATATGGAGCGCCTCATCTGGGTTTCAAATGAGTTGCAATTGTCCCTTTGTTCTGCTAAAATCAATCAGAATCTTGCACAAATGAGGGGTTTCAGGTTACCACAAGGAATGTTTCCAGGGGTGCTTGCTCTGAAATAAAAAATGTGATAATCATTACATGGAGAGCCAATAATTATAAGCATTTCCTCTTGGAATCACAGAGAAAAAATACTAGAATCATATCAACCTCAGAAAAAAAATCATTGAATTTCTTTCTGGTATATTAGGACACCTGGTTGGGGCCTGTAGTCACACTTCTTTTGAATGCTGCTGTGTTTTAACATCGTAGTAACCCTGATTGAATCTGCCACACTGTTTTCCTTAAAGTAATGCTGGAATTGTTAGAACTTTTTTTCTTAAAGTGAGACACTTTAGTAGACGCATAGCTGCAATTGTTCGTCATATATGCTACATTATATCTTATTGGTCAAGTGAATTCTGGCTAGTAACTCTACTGTAGTTCTATAGAAAGGTCAAGATTTGATAGAAAATCAGACTCCTGTGTGTTACTGCAGGCACCTTCCAAAGTCATAAGATAGGTATATTAGATCATATAATGTCTACTTTAAAGAGGCATGGTTATTACTTCAGAGACAAATGTTTCAAAATTGAAAAATTATTTTCCATTGAACATTTTTTTGTCTTTTCTGCTAGTTCAGAGCAAATGCTCCAGCATGCCAGGCAGATTGCACCTGCTCAACTCAAAAAACATCTAACTTAGGTTTTTGTTTTTTGTTTTTTGTTTTTTTTTACTGCTGCTTTGTTTCTGCAATTTAGTTATATTATTTTAGAGATCAAGTGAAGTTCCTAAATAAAACTACTTGCATATGAAGTTGAAGTGCTCTGAAACTCTGCTGGAATCTACTTTAACTTTTAACTCCCCAAATCTCTGTCCCCTTCACACTCAGAGGGATTCATCAATCAAAGTAGATCTGGCTCATAGAACAGCAGAGGACCGCAGGTGCTTATGCAGCCATGAATTTCCCAGCTATTTCCTGCCTCTTACACTAAAGACTCCAACTTCTGAATCAAATCTTCAAAACCCCAAGGGACTCTCCCCCAGAGAACCCCAGGACACTGATTTTAGAAGTTACACCTACTTCACTTACTTGTACCCACACCTTGACTGTACCCAGGTGAGCCCCCTTATGGGATGAGAGTTGGCTTTGCCAGTACAGCCAGGTGGGTGAGACCCAAAGTTTGATAGATTTGGTAACAGAAGAGCAAGAGAAGAGAAGTAGCATTTACCAACCATCTTCTATATGTGCTCAGTTCTCGGGAGGCTAGCTCATCACATCCTCAGGAAAAACTCAACAAGTAGGTGAGTTTATTTCCACATTGAAAATATGAAAGCTGAGATGAGAGATGTAAACAACTTTCCCCAGGTCTGATCTTTGTGGCATAGTAGTTTCACATTCACTCTGTCCCACTTCAAAGACCAGACATTCCCCTAAACTAGTAACCACTGAACTCTTGCCATATATAGATGTCCACAAGGAGAGATAACATGTACTTGAGGCCGCCATTTTAGACCTGAGGAATTTGAGGATTCCAGAGGTTCATCTGAGGCCTGCAGGAACCAGGTGTAATGAGCCATACTGTAATCACTTAGCAGATGATGACCTGGAAGGATGAGCCTGGGTTTAGGACATGTCCTGTTAACTCCAAATATGATTACTTTGCTGAATTTTGTTGATTCCCAAATTTCCAGACCACCACATACATGTATATATTGATTGATTTTTAAATTTTCTTTATTGGTGAGTTGATTTTTCCTTTATGAATTCATTTCCTTTTTGAACTATACTTTATGGTCAGCAAGAATTTCCTTAACACTCTCTCCTTCATTGAGGTTTTGAGAGGGAAGAATGTACCTGTGCTAAAGTTCTCCTTTAAAGTATAATCATGATAATGATGACTTATATGGCATTCATGTAGTATCTAAGCTTCTGTACTTGTCTGATCCTAAAACTCTTTCACATATATTATCTCATTTTATTCTCCAAAAATGGCTTTGAGATAACAATCTGCAGCAGGACAAACTTTAGAATTTCCTACCATCTCTTGTGTAAATTTAAATGTTCTCTTTTAAATTGGTAAAATAATGTACAGACTGGTGAAAGTAAGATGAGGGGGTGGAAATGTTTTGGGTGAAGGGAATAGTAAAGAGATGAACATCAGATCTAGGTAGATATTTGCATGAGAATCTGAATATATGAGAACCAGGCTCCAGATGAATTCCTGGTGAATATCCAAGTTCACTAAATTCATGGAAGGAGAACAAGGGACCAAATAGAGAAGATTAAATATGGCTTTATAAGCAAGACACACTTAGGTAGTCCAGAGAGAACTTTTACAGTAGCATACCATAAAAACTCTAGCCCCTGCAAACCAAAAGATACACAGTGGCACTTACACCAAATGTGGCTGGGGATCCCTTATATGCACATGTACCAAAAATGCCCTGGGTTGTCTACCACGACTAGTGAAGAGTTTTCAAAAAACCCATCCTTGCTACAGTTTCTGTTTCTGCATCTGGCAAAGGCTTTGAAATGAAGGTTTACTGAATCTGTTACAACATATTGTAATTTGAAGAATCCTTAACAGTTACCTGATAACAGTTATCTTTTTATGGATGGAGAAGAGGAGGATGCCTCTTAAGAGCTTGCTGCCTTAGCAGCAGACTGTAGTCTTGAACCCAGTGTTCTTGGTGCCACCACTTCTAAAGCTTATTTTTGTTTCATTCAGTTCCTTTAATGATGGATGATACCTTGTATGAAATGGAACAACAGACTATGGAATGCTTGACTAGAAGGAACCCCAGAGATGGGATCTCAGATCTCTGTACTTTACTAATAGGAACTTGATGTGCCCAAGTTACCACCACAACTCTAGGAGAGGGGTAGACCAAAGACTCTAAATTCAAACACTTCTACAAAATAAGGAAAAAGTGTGAAATGATCATGTTTTTTATTTATAAGGAGCAGTTCTCTTCTCCACTTTCACATGCCTCCCCGCCTACCCCAGCTCTTCATTCTGCAGTCTTGGGTTGATGAGGTCCTACACTTAACGTGAACATGCTGTTGAAAGGCCAACAGGGAGTGCAGGTTGAGACCAAGGAAAGAGATGAGAGGCTGGTGAGTAGGGCCTGAAGGGGAGCTGTTGTTTACATTGAGTGGGCTGCAGGTGACTACTGGGTTTAAGGTTGGGACCTCGGCAGGTACCGTAGGAAGCTTTTGCCTGTCAGATTCTGCTCTATGCTGTTGCACAAAATTGTGTTAGGGAAGCAAAATGATCAAAGTGGCCATCCTCACTGCCCAAGATATGTACCCGAGCAATGATGTCCCATGCAGCCAGGGAAGAGGCTGCTGCTCAGAACTCCCTCCACCATAATCTACATCACACCTTTTATCCAAATTCCTCACCTCAACTGATCAAGATTTATTTTCTTGTATCTATGGATACAAAGTCACTATGGGGTTCCTTCTAGATACAAAGTCACTATGGAACAGGTTCTTGTTGAAGAGGGTAAAGACAGAAATAGAGAGATCTGAGATTTTTGAGGGCTGATCATGTTACAGCCCCTGCCTGGGTGTTTCCTGCACATTCTGCTTCCCATCTGTCTTCACATTTCTTCCATCAGGTGGTGCCATCATCCTGAATCTGCAGATGATGAAACTGGCTTTCCCTGGGGTAGACTGCTTTGCCCCAAGTCCCAGGATTGCAATAGGCTGAGCTCTATTGGAGGCTAATTTTTTTCAACTCCAGGTCGTCCTTTTCCCCTACAGTGCAGACAGGTGGAGGCTGGACGGAAAGCTGGTGTGGCCGATCTATTTGACCCCAGTGTAGAGTCTCTGCCTTGTACTCTTGTTTTTTCCCCTGACTTCTGACCAGCAGGTCCCAGTACGTAGACCCTTCTGGCTGCCTGGACGGAGAGTATTCTGCTGCTATGCTTCTGAACTGGGTATCTAGATTTTGGTCTACACTGTTTCCCCAAACACCCAACTTAAACAGACCGCTCTCCTCCTCCCATCTGGCCTTGCCTGGCTGATATCTTGAGCCAGCCCATTTGATTACATGGCAAAAAGGCCCAGATGTCAGTCCAGTCACTGAGGTGGGTGAGGGGCCCCGGCCCATGAAATTTATGTGGAAACCAGAGGCCTGCAGCCACTCTGGTGGACGGGCCTGACACACAGGACGTGGTGGGTCCTTAGCTAAGCGTCTTGAGTAAGAGACACTAGCACCCCACTACACCATGTGTAAGGGGGTAATGACACCTGCCTTGCAGCACTGGCCCATGAGTACATGAAATAATGGTTGCAAGCTGCAAACCTTGTACAGTAGGAGCTCAGTAAGTGTTAACGTCTCAACCGCCAGGAGACAGAGCAGGCACCTCTGTTAACTGGCAAGAATAGCTATTTTTCCTAAGTCACAAAGATGACCCAAACCACTTTCTCATTATACAAATGTATGATCCAAACCATGTTTTATTTTCTTCATGGATCTCTCTCAAGGCATTCATAACCCACATAAAGTAGATGCACAAGTCCTTTTTGTTCCAAGGGAGCTTTGCAGTTTGCTGTTGATGCAGGTCCCAGGCCTGGCGTTTCTCCTGTGGTCTTCACACTACCCGTATTACAATAGAAAATCCACTTGAGAAACTGGAGCTGACCAAGTCTCGAGCCGGTTCCCCCATTTATTTCCAGCCCTGGGCTATTTGCTAAAAGCGATACAGGTGGGTGGAAGTCAGGTGAGACCCGCTTCTCAG